GAAGAGAAGAGAAGAGAAGAGAAGAGAAGAGAAGAGAAGAGAAGAGAAGATTTTTGCTGGTATAAGATGTCATGAGTAACATATAAAATATCAAAAACAAATTCTAGTTAGCTTCTCTCAAACATTCAGCTTAGAAGTTCTGGCTCCACTAAAGCGATTTGGTTTTTTTTTTCAAGATTATATATAGATCCAAAACACCACATTTGTTCTTTATTCCTAATTGGAAAAATTAATATGAATTTAAGATGTATTATGTCCTGCTGTGCCCTTACTTTTGTTTTGCCTATACACTTTTCTGCGTATATCAGCAAAACTAGTGAATTTGATTCTAATTTGTACTGAAACACAATTTGCCATTTTAATTAAAACTTTCCTTTCCTTTTGCAAATTCATATTATTTTTTGAGCAGCTGAAAATATATTTGTGTTATTTTTCTTTTATAAAAACAATGAAGTCAGTCTACATCAAGACCCATATTCACTGATGCATTGTAGTTGCTTCAGAGCTACAGTTAGTACAAGAGTAACCATAAGCTCTTGAGTAGCCTGAATTTGTGGCTGCTTTTTGTTGCAAAAGCAACACAAATTGAACAATCAGATCAGTGAAAAAAGGTGCAAAGTTAAAAAAAATGTATGTTATTAAATTGCTCTGCCAACAAGACTGGCATTACTTTAATGTGGAAGGCAGGTCAAATTCTCTTCTAGTGTGGAAAATAATGTTTACATGCTACACCCAGACAAATCCATCAAAGAACAGTGTTTGATTTTTTATTCTCCCTGTTTTAAAGTTAACAGACAAGGAACTCATTGAAATCACTGTGACAACATCCACCAAGAGGAAAGTTAACGTTATTTATTATACCTGATAGTTTCTTCCCTCTGGGAGAAAGCAAAGAATTTCATAACTCCCAAGACTTTCTTTGTTTCTATACTAGAAAGCTAAACTGAAGAAGAAAAAAAGCAATGCACACAACATATACTCTCATAAATGAGGAGTACTGCCTAAATAAAACTCAGTAAAGACCCTGTTTTAAGCACTTTGTAGAGGAAGACAAAACCCAAACCCCATTATACTCATGCATGAGATCCCCTTTTCTATACACAAGAACTCAATTTCAGTCTATACCACTTCCAATTTGCTTTTTCCTCTATGAGGTGTTTGACAGAGGCAGATGCAATGGCTCTATCTTGTGCACCCTCTGAACTCCAGGATTCAGGGAGGACTAGGTGGAAATTTTCCCCTCTGTGGGTCTCATAGGAAACTGAGAACTGAGCTCGTTTTGTGGGACATCCCGTGCCTTCCTTTGAAATCCCCGAAAAGGTGTCTGAAAGGCTGGGAAAGAAGTGAGAATGTTTGCATGGGACACACCTTTCTAATCTGTAGATGCATGTCACCCTCTCAGAGTTCCCAGATAACAGAGTAATAGGTTTAAGTACACACTTTTTTTTTTTTCAGCATCTTTAATGAATACTACAGTAAAAACACCTCTTGTTTCATAGGTACTCAAGAATTAGAATAAAAGGACTTTTCTTTTGGAGGCATCTCCCGATTTATTTTGATTTTCAAATCAAAATAAGCAAGTTTCTTTACGTGTTTTTATCAGCAGAAATGTACTTTCAAGGTCAATGTTAAGGTAATTATTAAATGTCCATTTAAATTTCCAAGGTTGGAGAGACTTCTGGCATAATTGTATACACGAGTGCATGACTACCATTTTTTTTTTTCTGGAAAAAAAAAAAGGAAAAAAAGGCAAATGGACAGAACAGAAAACTATCCATCATGTTAGTGATCAAAAAAAAAAAAAAANAAAAAAAAAAAAAAAAAAGGTAGAAAAAGCAAAAAATATATATTTCCTCGCACAAAACTGGGCCATGAAAACAAAGGAAGCATTGAGCTGTGTTAGTCACATCTTCATCTGAATGTTTTAGTGTTCTGTTCAACTGAGGGTTCTATGACTGATTTTAATTCTAGTTCTATTCGAAATGCGATGGCAAAAGTAAGTAAGGTAAGTAAGTAAGCTGCAAGGGTGAACTCTTGTTCTGAGCAAATGCTCCACAATGTTCATTCAGAGAGGCTTTATCTCCCACTCTTCTGGGTTTTTGATTAGACTCGAGATACAAGAGCAAAAACTAGAAGCGAGAAAGACCACAGAGCTATATCGAGTGTTAACAGAAGAGAAAATGAAGTATGATGGCAAATCACTCTGAAAAACAATGCGGGTTATGATTAATAGGTAGACAGAACGATCTTAAAGAATAAAGTTAAAAAAAAAAATCTTAGGAAGTCAAAAAGCAACAAAATTATCACATGGAGATCATCTTGAACATGATGATCCTGGAGCTCTTTTCCAACCATAATGATTCTAGGCACAACGATAGGTGATGCCAGGCATCTGAAGAGAGCAGCGTATTTATATGCTGAATTTGAAGTACTTAGCACAAGTGTTTAAAAGCCTTGGCTTATAGGTCTGTGAAAACAAAAGTAAACATCCTCCTCCTGCCATGTATAAATATGGAGGAAGAAGTGGTTCACTGAACATTTAAGCTATTGAGGAAAGAAAAAAAAAAAAGAAAAGAAAAAAACCCAAAAAACACATTTGAAGTAAGGATTAGAAAAATGAGTGTTACTCTGGATAACTTTCAACTTCTCAGATATCTGGATTTCTGGGCCGTGAGTCTGTCAAAGGGATCCTGAAAAAGAGGATGTCCCTGATCAGCGGAGCACTCACCTGCCCCTCTAGAAGCATTTAGCAACTCTGAAAAACCAACAGTAAAAAAGGGCCTGAACTTTCTTTTTAAGGTAGCTCGTGATCCACTAATGAGAAGAACACCCGGCATCCTAATTTTCTAAAACTGGACCTACGTAATTAAAACCCACCAAAGTACATATACAAATATTTTAATGAGATCCTCGACTAGAAGACCAGCTGAGCAGACCTTACAACTTTTGTTGCCAAGAGGAGGCAGTGTCCCCTTCCCCACCTCCACTGCCTCCCGTGCTCCAGCTCTAGGGCAAGTTTGACCTTTGTTAGCAAACGCGGTTAAATCTTGCAGAACATTAACCCAACTTGGAAAAAAAAAATAGAAAAAAAAAAGAGAGAGAGAGAGAGAGAGGGGGAGAGAAAAGAAGCTTTTACCACATTGGAGTACTCCCTCTCCGTCCCTTTCCAAATGTCAACTTCACACAGAAAAGTGTGAAGTTCACACAGAAGAGTGTGGAGTTGACACTTCAAGATGAAGAAGAGCCTGGAGTGAGGGGGAGAGATGTTGGGGGAAGGAGAGCAGAGGGCAGGAACCGGCAGCRCATTTCTTGGCCAGTTCAGCCATCGCATCCAACTACACTCTGGCGAGTAAGAAGAAAAGGTGTTAACAGTGTTAATCAACGAGCCGCTGGCACGTGGCCAGTTCGTCAAGTATGTAACTGAGCAGATCCCATTAATTTTAATGGAGCTGCACTGAATCCCCACGGATGTGGTATTATTCGATAGTTCACAAAGCGACACGGTCACCTGCAAGAGCCTAAAGCTCCYCTGTCACAGGAGCGCACCACTTGCCAGCAGAACATACTGGTTTATCSCTGCTGCTGTGTCCTCCTGCCCAGTTCCGCGTTACGATGCCCGAACTGAGTGTAATGCTTCAGAAATGCCYGCCTATGGACAATACCAAAGTACACAGGAACTCGCGCGTATATTTTATATCAACCTTTCTTCTGACTTACAGCCATTGTGCAAGATGTTTGGACAAATCCGAGATGAGATATGAGGATATCCTTAAGCTTTTTAAAAAAATAGCTTTAGGAGAATTAATTGTTAGGTATCCCAATAATGACAGGAACTTCTTTATTAAGAGAGAAACTGGGCATAACATCACTACAGGAGCCATGGTCTCCTGTACTCCAAAGAATTTAAGGGAAAAAAACGACAAACAAACAAACAACAACAACAACAACAACAACAACAAAAACCTCAAAGACGTGAATTTCCAAGGTTGAGAAGTGTTCAGATTCTCCCTGAAAACAGAAAAGCTCTTGAATCTTGATGAAAATCTCCCTGTCATGTAGTGATTTCTCTCTGTTTTGGTAACTTCACAACCTGTTTCACACTCAAAAGGTCACTAAGATCTGAAGGCCCTTGGCAGGGAGTGTGTAGAGATGGAGATGTGCCACGCAGCTGAAGATTTTAGAGAGTGACAGAGGCTGGTAATGCTAYAGACATGACTTGGGATAATCTTGTATTTTACTTAGGTGAAATTAAATCTACGATTCCTGCAACTGAATCCGCATTGGAAAATAACTGAACTTCTGACCCTGACTCCTTATGGGACAACGTGAGGATAAACTTTCTTACAAAAAGGTCTAGTTGAAAAAACAAAACAAAACAAATTGATTTGTAAGGTATTTCAGCCAATATACTCCACATGTAATCCATTTTGTACTCCAAAGTCAGAAGATGTATATTCTCCTTTGAATAAACACAGGRAGCTGGAAGAATACAGGAACTGTGATCTTGCCACATCCTTGCAGGTGTCTTGTAGGGTCCTCCTGGAGAACACACCAGACATCCCAGGCACATCCACMCAACGGGGTCCAGGACCTGCTGCTCATGTCTTTAAAAGGAGAGATAAGCCTGAACGTACCCCCTGCCAAACACAGGTACTTTCAGACTTTCATTATAATAAGCAGTCTCATTACAGTGATGTCAAACATAGCKCATGGCAATATTGGGTTAATTTGGAGGTGTTACTACAAGCAAGTGGAGTTTTTTCACACATCTGTAGAAATTCTCTGTTGCCCACCAAGTTTATACTATTATTACTATTACTGTAATTAGCAGTAGTGCTAGAGCTGAGCTTCAGCAATGCAAACGAGCACTCACGCCACCGTTTCGCCGTCTCGTGGAGAGTTACCCCAGGCTGCTGGAGTTTCAAGAGTGACACGCCAGCGGAGCTTGCGGGAGTTYTTCCGAGTCCCCGTGGGCAAAGCAGCGCTGGAAGGGGCAGGGAGAGGCAGCAAGCAGTTTCCCTGCGCCCGGACACTTTTACGAGGCTTCCTTATCAGCACCTGCGCTGCCCGGCTCGCAGACACGCCGCGCTCAGGCGTTTGCCCGCAGCATCGCGAGGAGCAGACCCATCTCCGGGCTCGCGGGCGAGCAAGCCCCGCGTGCCGGGGAAACGCCAAAACCCAGAGAGCAGAACCGGCGCTTTGGGGTACGTCTCCGCGGGCGGGCCGCGGGGGGCTCCTCTCGCTGCCGTGCCTGAGGAGGAGGAGGAGGAGGAGGGAGGCAGGCCGGGCGCCGCCCGTCCCCGTCCCCTCGGGCGGGAGGAAGGGGCGGCCCCGGCGCCCCCCGGGCACCTGCCCCTTCCCGCCGGTGCCGGCGGCGCCGCCAGGCTCCTCCCCAGCGCAGCCCGGCCCAGCCCGGCCCAGGTGAGCGGCGCCCAGAGGCGCCGCTGTTTTCTGGGCGCGCGGGCTGCGGCCGCGAGCCGGCAGGTGAGTGACCCGGCGGCGCAAGCTCGGGAAATGTGTTTGCCCCCGCGCGCGCTCCTCCTGCCTGCCTGGGGGTAAGCGCAGCCGGGCGGCGAGGCGGCCGCCCGCGGAGGGGGCCGGGGCCGTGGGGCCGCACGGGGCCGTGGGGCCGCACGGGGCCGTGGGGCCGGACATGCCCGAGGGGGCGGCCGGCGGGCGCAGCGTCCCCGTCCCGCGGCGGCCGGTGCTGCCGCGCTCGCCCCGCCGCGGGGGCTGGCGGCGGCTCCGGGGTCGCAGTGCGGCTGGCGGGGGATGAACCGGAGCACGATGCTGTTCCGGACCCTCCTGGCGCCGCCGCGGTGTCGCTGCCGCTTTGCAGCTCCTCGCCAAAGCGCCCCTTGCTCGGCGCGGGTGTCGGTCCTGTCGAGTAGCCTCGGGCGAGTGGCAGAGCAGCTTCCTAGGGCACAGCTTCACCCCATGGCGACCAGTCCCCCTCCTCTCCCTCCCTCCTCGGTGGCTTTACCRACGGCCAGAGCCTGCCTGGACCTGAAATATCCCCTGGGCTCCGTGGTTTGACAGGGAAGTGGGGTGACCTCTGTGGGGTCTGAGAGGTGGGCGACCCTTCTTCCCTGATGGCCTCGTGTCCCGGGTTGTTTGCCTCCAGTAAAGGGTCCCTGGTGCCCCAAGCACATCGCAAAGGCCCGGAGGAGGCGGCCTCCCCTCTGGAGGCCCCTTCACATCAGTTAAGGCGCCGGGATTTGCGGGAAGAGATGRGTGTTGTGCGCGGCTGAGATAAGTCAAATGAGGAAACGGGTGCAGCCGTGGCTGCTACCCAGCTATGTCCGCACAAATGCCATATAAAATCAATGCCATATAAAATGACACCGGGGACAGGAGAAAAGTCAATAACAAAGTTGGACTTAACTCCCTTCTCCCCTGCTTTATTTTTTGAAAGTTACGCTGGTACATAGGGAAGTCAGTCTAGGGTGAACGTATGGTACCCTCACTTGGAAGGGAGAAGTTGGAACGGTTTCCTAGGATGTGGATTAAGGGCAAGTTAGGGGCAAGGATGCTGGTTCAGATACTTCCTTCGGGCACGTCACCGCTGGAGGTGCGGGCTCAACCTCCTGTGTGTACCGACCTTGTCAGTCACGGGCCGGTCCCCGCCAACGGCTGCGATAGGGAGATGGTGAGCAAGCCACGGCCGGGCCACCGCTCCAGCTGTTCTGAGGAGTGGGTCTCTAAGCCTCTCTGTGACAGCGGGGATCTCCCCATGAGGGAATTCATGACTCCTGCTTGCTTTGCTTTGCTTTGCTTTCTTGTCTACTGTAAGACCCCTTAGAAGAGGCTTAGAGCTCCTCAGGGTCAAATGGGCAGAAAACAGCAGCCCGAGACCCTAGACAAGTATTTTGTTATATTTCTAGTTTTGATCCTTTCCCTCCACACCATTTTATTTTATTTTATTTTATTTTATTTTATTTTATTTTATTTTATTTTATTTTATTTTATTTTATTTTATTTTATTTTATTTTATTTTATTTTATTTTATTTTATTTTATTTTATTTTATTTTATTTTATGGTAAGTGCATACTTGCAGATATGGTTATCGCTTACTAGCAAGCTCATTCATTCGCAACTTACATATAGGAAACAAGTATCTTTGAGAGCGGAATCAAGTATCTTTGAGAGCATTTTTTCCCCACACCCAGAGCCTGCCAAAGTTTCCCAGCGCTATAGGGAGGCTTGGACTTAACTACCAGAAGGATGAAGCCCTTTGCTGTTGCTGTTGCTGCAGGACTATGAGGGCATAGACAGAATGGGGGATATCATATAGGGAAGAAAGCATCCAAATGCCTGACTGGAGGCTGCTGTATCCTCTAGCAAAAAAGCAATCCGTGCACTGGCTTGTGGAAGTCCTGGGCAGCCGTTGCCCTGCAGTTGTTTCCTGACAAAGGTATCCTTTACCTTTCTTGACCACGTCATGTATTTTTTTTCAAATGCAATCATGTGATGTGGTATCACGCATGTGGTAGGCAGTGCTTCATGTCATTTGTTCTCAGACAAATATACAGTTACTCATAGTATGACTACAGTGTCCATTAACTTTTATAATGAAACTGCTGCTCCTAGGGCTTTTTAGCACTTCACAGCCTCCCTAACCCCCCACGTGTAGGAGCAGTGTTGGTATAATCTTGTTTTGCTGGCCTTGGGCATACGGCTGTATTGTGGACTCTATTTGAATTGCTGGTAGACCTTATCAAGAGGCACTGTTTTTTAACACCTGTTGATAAGTAGTCCTACAGTTTAAGGATATCTTAGGAGCTAATCTTGAAGAGCTCCCAAACAATTTCTTGGGAGAGCTAGGAATGCTGAGGCTGTATTTGCGGGAGCCTGTCTGTCATATAAATATTTGTATAGTCTCTAAGAGGTCTCTGCAAGATGCTTTATGCTGCTGTATGGGCTCACAGAGTAGAGCTTATACCTATTGCATACCAGGTTACCTGGGAAAACAAAGTACCGGAAGAAGGTAATTTTGATTGCTTCAGTAAAACTTTCAGTTACTCGTAAATTTGCTTTTGGCTCTTTCCCCAGCATGAATTTTAGCCCATGGTGTAAAGAGCATTTTCTTTTTTTTTTTTTAACCATCAATAAAAATATCCAGTATCACTTCCTGAAGCATTAAGGAAGTTTTGTTAATTAAATTAGATGAACATTCTCATTTGATTTTTTTTTCTTTATATTTTCTAGACTTCATTTATAAGTAGTTGTGGTTTTKTTTTTTTTKGGGGGGGGAGCGGATTGTGCTTGTTAAATAAGAGTATTGAACGTGTTTCTTTTCTCTACTCCAGGTAGAAGAGAAAAAGAAACAGGATTTCAGGAATTGCTCAGTTTGTAGAAAGATCCTGTAAGTGAATTTGGAATCAGCTCTTTGTTCATCTTTTCTCTCCCTTTTTTTACTCTTCTTTCTTTTTTAAACTGAGAAAGCAGTATAAACTGTGTTTATATACTGCTGAAGCTTCTAGAAGGGTATAAAATTGACAAGAATAGGAAATAAAACCCTCTATAGCATAAACAAAACCTATAATTTTGGGCTGCGCTTTTTTGAGAAAAAGCTTTGTGCTGGAGTTGTTCCTTTGCTCTCGTAATGATTTTTCCCAGTTTCTCTATCTGGAAAATGAGAATTCCTAAGTTCTTGGATATGACATTGTATGAGGCAAGTGTTAGCCACTGATCATGTAGAGTGTTTGGAAGCTTCTTATTTTAGAAGCTGAACTTGTCTCGATGATTGTACCTTTAATTGCTCTTTTCTCTTCCTTCTGTCTTGTTTGCATGCGATTGCTTTTACATAGGTATAACAATGAAGACTTAGTCTGTGATTTTTTACTTTCCCGTGGTTGATAGCTATCGTGCAACTAAGCAAACAGATAACAAAGTCTTTATTTCAGCTGAAATATGTATATACAAAACATGTATTGGAGTAACACCAAAGTACAAGAATACTATTGTCAGGTTACCTCTGGCTTCACTGGCCAAGGTGAAACAGCAGCGCTACATTAAAATACCTAAGGGCAATTTTTCCGTCCTATGAGCTTATATGTCCAGGCAGGGAAATATCATATTACATTATTTATATAGAAGTCTGTGAAAACTAATATAACTATAGTTATGTAAAACTCTACACCTCCAAATTACGGTACCGCTGTTAATTAACAGTTACASTATGCTATATCAGAAATATTTTTATTATTCCTTGGATGCCAAATCAATCTACCAAAGCCAGGCAGCAGCTGTTAACAAAACTCGGGGTTAAACCTTGGGGKTTTTTTTTTGCCTTTTGATCTCTCCTTTGTACTTTGGGAGTGCTAGCTCTTAACTAGTGAAGAAAGTGCATTATAAGTGACCCGAGAGAGGCAGAGGCTTTCCTCCAGGCAGCATGTCAAGGTGAGAAGGATAGAGGTTAGGAGGATGCAGTGGCAGGGAGGACCATCTAGGGTTGAGCAGAACAGTGCTCGGTGGAGCTAATGGTCCTCCTGGAGGTTAGGAGGCCAACTCGCCTTTGCAGGACTGATGGTTTAAGAAGTTTGTGTTAAATTAAGTATTATCAGTTGAAGTAATAACCTATTGCAGCTTTTGCTTACGTATGAAGAATTTATGAGGTTGAGACTGTTAAGAGTAGATCTATTCCGAAACAGGTCATTGAAAACCTTTCCTAAAACAACTGTTGGGTTCAATTTTTATTGGATGAATCTAAACCTTTTCAAGATTATCAAGATTATTTTTCATTTTTTTTCCATTCTAAGAGTGTTTTAAAGTTCTTTTTTTTTTTTTTTTTTAGTCTTGAGGACATAAGACAGAACTCAAATCACAGTAATCCCAAGGCATATGTGAGAAGAAGCTAAGATATTTCAAGTTAGCTGTCTGCTGTGACAGTGCATTCCACTGTATTCATCACTAAATCCTGTGAGTAACAGCTATATCTTTTATACCCCACTACTGTTGACTGTCTTTAGGAATAGTAGCATTATTTCCTTGTTTTCAGAGATCTGAAACAAAAGCAGATTTGACTTTGGGAAATCTGTGTCTCTGGAAGTCCAAACACTTCCATACTGGAATAGTGAAGTTCAGCGGCTGAGCACTACTAAATGGCAGGTCTGTTCCTGACCTGGGTGTGCTTCTTCCAAAACTAAAGAGGTGAGTGGGAAACATGAGGATTTAGCAAGCTGCCCTGCAAGGCTTGGGCTCATGGGGACCTGCCTCCCACATGGGTGAGCTCCATCTCTGCTTCCAAGCTGAAGGCTTGCTCTTCACTTTGACTGCCCTAGGTCACTTTATCAATTCCTCTTCAGATGTGCCCCCTTATGAGTCAAATACTTAGCAGACATCTGTGGGAATGACTGGTAATAGAAGGAAGGATAATTCTGTGCRGGGCAGATGTATGATACTTTTATGTATGGATTTATATAAATCTATCTGAAGCACGAAGTTAAGCTMGAGGCTCAAATATTGGGCTGAGATAAGAGATGCTGGTCACTTCTAGCTCTACCTAGATGATAACACAGGTCAGCYTGTTTAGCTATGACCTGGTTTTCTCGAGTATAAATTTGTTCCACTACCCTTCATTAATTTGTATACAAATACATTTTCAGGTGTATGTTATGAGTTTGTATGCCTGTTTTTATAACAGGCATCCTGTATATAATTATTGGATGCTATCCATTGATTTTGCCTAACTTTCAAAAGAGTRCAACTAGTGGTTTTGGTTTAAGCTCTTTTCATAGCCTCTGAATATTTCCTTGGATGTATTTATATACCCAAGTTTTTTCTGTGTTTTATGTCCTGATACAGGAACATTTTTATTAATAAGTAGTTGGATTGTAAGTAAATTAACAAGAACTGCTTTGGTAATATTGATTTGTTACCAAAGCTAGTTAAAAAGCAGTTTTTTTTTTCTCAGTTAATTGGAAAAAAAAGGGATGAAGAAGACTGTTATCTTCCAACTTGCAAAGCATTTCAAGTGGTAATGTTGTGGAAGAAAAGTTTTGGTATTTGATTATAACGTGCCTGTTGGCTCACCTCAGAAATGCCTAGTAGTCTTTATTCAGTTATCACTAAGCTTTGGTATCACTTTTTTGGCATACATTTCAGGAAACAAGGAACAAACCTACCTTCCTTCAAAGTAATACTTGGCCTCCAGTCTATGTCTGGGCAGACCTGCATTTCCCAGCACTACTATGACGAGCTGAGCAAGAATGGATGCGACATAAACCAGAAGGTTTGAAGACTTAGTCACCAATCTTGATGCACTTGCTGTAAGTAGGAGTAAATCCTGTTTTCCTCAATATGCTGCACAAATAAGAGTTCAACAGTGTATTAATAAATTATTTTGGTGTCTTTAATGGACAAATACCAGAATCATCCTTCTTGGACTGTACTAAAGTATGAGTACTTAGCTCTGCATGCCAAGTTGTTGTTGAAATCTSTTTTAAGATGTTTGCAGTTCAGGCTGGGGTGAAATGACACCTAAATACAATCTCTAAAATATGATGTTATTCTTCAGGCTGAATTATGCTGTTTTTTTAAATTCAGTTACTCTTTATAACAGTGGCTTTTTATCAGCGATCATGACTGTGCCTTCACACAGTAGAACAGTATTTCTCAGCGGATGGCTGAGTATCTTCTRTGCTTTAATGTGTGGTAATATTATAAGAGGTCTCCACATATGAAATGAATTCTTTATTAAAATGATTCTTCGGGTGCTGTAATTACCTATGTTAGAAGTGTAGCACTGAACACTTAAAAAAAGAACTATTTTAAAAATTTTTTATATTGGTATGACATATTGCAGTGCCTCTTCTCCTGTTTTTGGTGCGGTGGCTTCAATACAACCAAGGAGAGAAATTTTTCACAATGCAAAAGAGTGAAAATACTGTGACTTTGTGGGACTAGTTGCCGTAGCAGTATTAAAGGAGTTAGTTGAATGTGCATTTCCTGGTGCTTTGTTCACGTTCTCATTTCTGTGTCATAAGCTTCASAATGATATATGAGTAAGCGCTGAGAGAGACGGGAGGAACTGAACTTGGTCCTGATACCACAGGGGTGGTTGCCAGGATATTCTTTCTTTAACTCTCATGTTGTCAGTGAGTGAGCACTAGCTTAATCTTTTCAGTCGGTGTGGCGTTYGTGTTAATGAGTAGTTGCCACTGTGTAATAGTCCAGGATGTATTGAGAGACTGTTAAGATCTGATTTCATGCTATATCCTATATTATGCCCTCTCTTGAAATACTTCCAGTATTTTTTTTTCCTCTGGTTTGTTTTTTTTTCCAATGGAGAGCCGAAAACAAACTGGACGAAGCTTTTGATTGTGAGGACTTTCTGTTTGTTTGTAGGTTGACACTTTATTTCCAAACACTTGAATTATTTCAGCATTTCTGACAAAGGAAGATGACCTCTACTGCAGTAAGTAAACAAAACATTCTCTATTATTATTTTTAATGGGCCTATTCAGTGTTTTTTAAATGTGGATGYATTTCTTCCATTTTCTTTTATGAACAATGGGAAAGATACTCTGAAAGAGAGGTGAGAGGGGCTTGAAATAGCTACTTCATCAAGTGCATAGATACTACTTGGAGGGTTTTAAACTTTTAGAATTTGTTTTATAACGAATTCTATAAAACAAATTTGTTTTAGAACAAATTCTAAAAGGAGGGTTTTATAATTTAAAATTTTGAAGGACATTAGCATGGCTTCTAACTAGTTCTTAGAGGTCTTCTAAGGTTTTGCGGGCCAATATGTCTCAGAAATGGCTGAGGTATGGCTAGTCCTGCCAKAGAACAAAATGAATCAGCAAACATTTTTCCTCATTGGGGACTCCTGCATACACCAACACTGTCCTTTGCCAACATTTCTTTTGATGGTGGTACTGCCTTAAAGTCTCTTTGCTGCTCATTTCCATCCCATCGGATGCTCTGGTGAAATGTAGTGGAACCCTGGTGGACTGGGTTCAAGAATGCTTTTTAGGTTTAGTGGTTTGGATCAGGAAACTGATCTCTTAACCATCACTGCATGCTATTATTGCTATTGAAAGGGYGATATATTAGGCTAACAAACTGTAAATCTCTTTTCCCATGTGAATTTGAGTCACTAATAYGTGTAAGTATATATAGTCAATTTATGTATGGTGAATTTATGCATTAGCAAAATTACAGTAGAGTATGTACATGATATCTTAAACTTATTTTGCTCTAATTGCAATTTTGCTTTTTTTTTCTTTTTCTGTCTTCTCTGGTTTCCTTCTCCAAATGTTATCTTTTAGGGGATACCACCATACTATGAAAATCATGGCTTTCAGTCAGAAAACTTCCCCCCTGCCAGGCAACCAGTAGGTGCTAAGGGATATCCACAGTACCTCTCTCCAAATATTCCATCAGTGCCAAACTACGTTCCAAGAGTTGCTACCTGGCAGTCGAGTCGGCCGGTGGCACATTCGACCAGGAGAGCCTGTGCACCAAGTAAGATTGTCGGGATTTTAGACTTAATGGTACTTTTAGAGGGAGTTTACAAATAAAAGGGTTCTTCCTTTCAAATTCCTGTATTGAAGAAATCCATGAGGACTGTCACATCCCCATGGATGAAAAAGCAGTGCTAGTAGCTGGGATGCCAATGTAACTGGATAGGAACATGTGTGATCTGGAGGAGGGGTGGTGGAACAGAGAAATCTGACTATCAAACACTGTTTTTAATTTCTAGGAAGTATAGTACTAGAAAGTACTTCTAGCTATAGTGCTAGAAACTACCTTATTCAGGAACCTAATTTGTCTTTTTGTCTTTGCTTTCATTTCAGCTACAAAGAAGATCATAATAATTATCATATCCATTTTACTAGTCATATGTTGTATAATTGCTGCATTCTTCATTTGGTATTTTGGTAAGATTCTTCTTGTTATTGTTGTTTTGATAGAATATTTACTACATAAAGCAAAGATTATTTAACTTTTATCATCAGAAATACAAATTTTTATTTTCTATTTGGTGCTGAAATTAAGGACAGGAAACTCTTGGTCACCAGTCTCTTAAGAGGCCAATTTATGTTGCTACTTAGTGGCTCAGTTATTTGGAGTAAACAGAGCTGCTATTGCTTTCCTTCCCTCTGTCGAACAAATGTGTTTTTGACATTGTGTGATATCATCAGTTTTTTGACTCTTCTGGAGTGGCTTATTTGGCCAGCTTTTCTGGAAAGCTGCATCTCTCTGGCAAAAGCTGCTGCAGAACAGCTACCACAAATTTAGTGCAGTAATTTTACTAAAGAATTGTTTGAYTTCTTGCATGGAGGGAAAGCTGGAATGTGATCTTGCTTGGATACCATATTTTACAAGGAATTTCATTAGGGAAATTACTGCTGTGTATTGTCTCTGGAATTAAACTTTAGTCTAATTTCTTACTTCGCTTAGCTTCAAGTGAAGGAAGCAGACTGAAATAAATTCAGATAACTTAAGCGTAAGTATATAGTCAGGATTTATTTTCTTTCTGGGAGTTCATGAAGTAATTTGTGTACGCTTGTTTATTTTATTTTCTGTGAGAGTTTTCCTTTGGAAAGTGTGTTAAGGTTGTTTGTGCCCAACCACCCTGGGTGGAAACATAAATGATGTGTTAACCTTGGAAATCATCCAAACGGAGTGACTGAGCTCTGAAACTGGACTAGAGCAATTCTGTTGGGCTTAGGTGAAGTTTGTCTGGTCCTGTCTTAATTTCGCTTAATTTTCACTTTTGAAAGCACAGCAGAAAACAATTTGCTGTATTTTTAGGAAACCACTTTTTTTTTTTTTTTTTCTGTTGTGGTAAAGGAAAGGGAAGAGAGGAAAGAATTCCTTTAAAACTATCAGGATAACACTTCTTACTATTGTATTCTTAGGCCTCGTTTGTTTTTTACCACTTTGATTTATACTCAGTAGACTATCTTGTTTTGAATTGCACTGAAAACAACGGGTTGTAATTGGAGGTAATGGCTTTCCTCCTTCTGTTTATAAGTTCTATCAATGCAAGGTTGACTCCTTTTAGTCAACTTGATGGTGCTTGCTTAATYCAAGGGAGGCAACAGACAAAATCCAATTAGCTGCATCAATGACTTAATCTGGCCAGTGATGTAAAGGACAGAGCAGTAAATCTGTTGTGCCAAGCTCTCCTCTCATCTGTGAATTTGTTTGATGAAGATAATGTTTTGCTCCATCAAACCACTGCAGTAGTCACCTCATGCTAAGCTGATACTCGGTCTAACACCTGGATATTGCTCTTCGCCTGCAGTGGAAAATCGCTGTCTTGGCTCCTTGATAGAGTGCAGCAATTCAGGAGTGTGCATGTCGCCCTCGCAGTGGTGTGACGGGGTGATCCACTGCCCCAACGGCGAGGATGAAAATCGGTGTGGTGAGTAGCTGCAGGTTGTGGGCTAGGGCTKCAACCTACTGTAAGAGGGTTTGAGYAATTGCCTGTGTCCAAAGCTTGTCTAAGTTAAAACCTAAATCAGTCTTCGTTGAGGTTGGCTTGAAGACTAGTCTTAGTCTTTGGTCTGTTTCTGGTCACACTGCATTGCTGATACAAAATGACTAACTTGGGGGTTTAGGTTGGCTTGACTTGAAATCAGTTTTAAAATTATTATCTTTTGAGGTGAACCTAGTTTGTGCAGAACTGAATGTAGTGTAGGCTTTTGAACGGCAGTCACTGTTACTGAATTCTTAGTAGGACTTGAGGTGATAGTACTAATTCGGCTGTGTTCAGTGGCCTGGCTTGTCTTTTTCTACATACTAACACTTCCTAGACCTGCCAGTACACCTTTTCAACTACTTCATGGCTCTGCTGTGTTAGAAAGCAGCCTGATTTTATTAGTGTTTTCATCTGAAAGATGACAAAGGAAGCTTTACTGTAGAACTTAGAATRTAAGGTGTAAATGTCATTAATTTGTCCATTCCAAAATATGACATTTTGTTTCTAATACTTATGTTGTGTCAGTGCCACTCTGGAAAACTCTTGCTGTGTGCTATTCTCTGCTTCTGAAGTCTTCTTCTGTACATGCCTCATGCAGTGTCAGCATTTAAGAATGTAAGCTGTAAATCTCTTCCTTTCACTTAGTTGAATATTCTGTTTCTGTAGAAGCTTATTCCATCTTTTCTTTTGCTTGACCTATTTTATATTAAATCCTTCTACAAATGAAAACATGGTGACTGCTTCTTGATACATTCTTACTCTACAAAGTAGAGTAAGAATTCTTCTTATCTGAAGAAATATAGTATGTTAAGATACCTTGTACTATATTATATAAACATATATTCTAATATATTTTATTTATATATAAAATATGATATATTAAGAAATCCACAGTGTCTGTAGAGAGAAGAGTTTTAAAAATCAGGCATTGTAGTCTTCAGTGGTAGAATATGAAGGAATCTTCAGGGTTTAAAAGCTGAGATGAAGATATGTACACAAGACTGTACGTTTGCTTTTTACACAAGTAATTCTTTTAAACTGCCTTACACAAGGAATTCAATTATTGTGATATTTCTGTCTACTAGATATATACCTCAAACCTGTATAGAGGACAACATTCAATTAGCATGAGTTAATTCATACATGCAAACAAATATCATCTAACAAATATCATGGGTAACAATAACTTTAAAGAGAGAATGACTAGTAATTGTAGTGTTTGTGGTGTTCTTGGGTCTTCTTTCTTTTCTGGTAGTTAGACTTTATGGACCAGACTTTATTCTGGAAGTTTATTCACCTGTCAGCAAGTCCTGGTATCCTGTTTGCCTTGATGGCTGGAATGACGATTATGGAAAGATAGCATGTCAAGACATGGGCTACAGTGCGTAAGTATAATTTTGTTCAAACTTTGCAAATACATAAAAAGGTTAAATTTCCCTACTGTGGTTCCCTAAGAATGCCTATCTGGCACAAAATGCAGTTGCTAATCTAGCTGACATGAATGCAGATGGGACTGATGTTAACAACGATAGCTGTTGTAACAAAACTTCAATTCTGCAACATATCACAGCTCCTGGCATGCAGCATTTACAGTGTGGGATCACTCATCTACTATATTCATTCACAAGGGTCTTTAGGAACTTACTTCAGTTTAGTTCCAGTTCTTTATAACTACTTAATAACACACAAACTGACTTTTAATCTGTCGTTGTTAGTGTTACATGGAAAGTCCCTCTTGTTCTGAGAACACAACTARTAAATATGGAAAGATCATCATAAATTTTTGCATCTGGTAGGCTAGCCAGATTGGCTCCACATAACTCCATAACCTACCTTTTTTTGTAGTTGAGATACTTTATGCTGCTGCTTTCTAAGGAGCTGTCCTGTGGTACACATGGAGCAATGGGGCAATTTTCTTGTCTAGGCAGAAATTCTGTGCGCCCACACTGCACAGGGACACTTGCTAGTAAGATCTCTGGACCACCAATGACTAGAGTACTTCCAAATTAGTAAGAGACAGCCTCACAGCAACTACATAGAGTGGTCCTCCACTAAAAAAGAGGACAAATATTTATTAACACTAATTATCACTGAGACCATCCTATGCATATATTACTGTTGTTGCTCTTTGGACCCAAAATTTGCTATGCTGTGTAAACGTACCAGTAGAAGCATCGCTTCATCATGGTCCATTTCACAGGGCAGGAGATTCCTACCATGCATGTGTATTAGATGAAAATGTTATTTTAATCTGATTGTTTGATGTGGAACTGAACTTGATAAATCAATCTTTAAAGTATCTGAGCTCTGATACTGTACTCTGTTTCATATGTTGTGTGTTTAATGCCAAAAAATTTTTWAAAAAAGTGTTTTACTGTTGTTCATGTCAAAAGTTTTAGCTTGGTACAGTTTGTTTTTTACATGCTTAAAATGTGAAACAATTGTGTTTCTTAATGGAATCTTTCTGTTTTGCAGAGGTACATATTACTATAGTAAAGGAGTAGCACCAGAAGTTGACTCTAAAAGCTTTATGATGCTGAATACAAGTGCTGAGAATATAGATTTGTACAGGAAGCTCTATACCAGGTATCTTTGCTTAACTCCTTCTTTTTTCTTTTTTTTTTTTTTTTTTCCAGGTGTCTTTTCAGAAGTTGTAGGAGATATAACTTCTGCCAGTAGCACAAAGCAAGCACACTTTTCAGTAGGAATTATTAGAGGACAGTTTGGTTTTAATGTGGTTGCAGCAACTTCTCTCCCTACTTAAAACCGCAGCTCTCATTTTTCCATCTTTACATTTCTCTTTTTCTCTTAGAGAAAATGTCCCATTCTCTTTGTTTTATGCTATTTAGAAGGTTTCCATGTTGAGGAAACAATCATTAATATGAATTTCATTAATATGAATGTCAGAATGATAAAAAAAAAAGCTAATAACTGTAATATGTTCACAGCAGTTGCTACTGTTTTTTTTTTTTTCCAAGTCACATGAACACATGGTTTGGAAAATACTCTTTCACTGCAGAAAGTATTTTTATGATTGAACACCTCTGAAGAGTTTAGTTTCTAACCTGTAGATGCCGGTACCAACAAAGGTCTCTTCATGTATCACTTTAACTTTTCCTTATGCTCTCCTTGGTTTTCCTCCTCAGTTGGCTTACAAGCCTCTTAYACTGCCTGCCTGTGCTAGGATCTGCGTCCTTCCACATAAAAATTTTGGTGGATGGACAAAATGGTGATGGCCACATGGGTGCCAGTAGTGTAGCTGGAGAGGGTGCAGAGAGAAGGGAACCCCAGCTGGAAGGCGAGCGTGAAGGCAGCGCATGTAGCTGGGAAGGACAGGAGTCATCTGCAGGGTGGCTTGTGCCCATTGCTGGCTCCAGTGTGTGCCTAAAAGCCTCTTTTCTTTTTCATTTCTATTGCAGTGACTTCTGTGTCTCAGGAAATGTGGTTTCTCTGCGCTGCATAAGTAAGTGTCTTTGTTCGTCACACTTGCCATGTTTTGATGGGTAGATGATTTAGCTGTGGTACCTAAGTCTCAGACAGGGGATATGCAAGCCAGGGTGGGACAAGGAAGATGTGGGATCTCCAACTGCTTCTGTCTTTGTTGTCACCAACCAGTTCCTTGTAATAATTTGTCTGTGATGAGACACACTAGCCATTGCTATGCAGTTGTGGGAAGCCTGTAGCATGTCTGCTGTGTGGCATGTGGCTATAGGGTGGGTGTTACTTTCCAAACTCTGAAGACTGTGAAGAGATGACCTCTAACTATTTTCTGTTTTGTTGCATAGCACAAAAATGTGTATTTATGTGACTTGACCACGATATTTGAATGCTGCATCATTCAAATGTGTTGCAWACTACTGCTTAGTGGTCATCTTGAACTGAGCCTCTAGACTACGTTGCTCCTTTAACTAATGTCTGCATATATAATTCCTTAGATTGCGGCCTCCCCACCAAAAATGCAAACATTATGAGCAGGATCGTGGGCGGAAATCTTGCATCGCTTGGCCAGTGGCCGTGGCAGGTCAGCCTCCACGTGCACGACGTCCACATCTGCGGGGGCTCCATCATCACCCCTGAGTGGATAGTGACCGCTGCGCACTGTGTGGAAGGGTGAGTGCCAAACCCCGGGGCAGCTCATCCACAGCACCACAAAATAAATGTGTTTGTCTGCATTAGTCTTGAGAATAGCTCTTGTCACTTCAGGCCAAAATAGAGGTTAATTGAAGACGTCTAGCTTCCTACTTTGTAACTGTATTGAATGCCATTTTTCTTCTCTTGAGTGCAGATATTAGCTAACATATTTTGTTAACTAATGCAGCTGTGCAGCTGTGTGGCTCTAAAGTGTTGAGGGAAAATTTGATTTGGGAGAGACTAGATGCAGGCTGGCTGTTTGTATCCCGTAGAAAGGAAATCTGGTTTTACTTGGTAAAGGTRGAAATTAAATTTGACAGTGTTTTTGGGCTTTGATATCAGGCTAGCTTAAGCTGCAAATTCAAGGTACCAAATTTACTTTGGACAGTACTATGCTATTGTGAAGAAGAAGTTGAGTTACACTTTGGAGGGAAAAAAAAAGGCAACTCTAATATCACACAACTGTAAATGTGATCAGTTTAAAGTTGGTCTAGATTAAGATGTATCTACTGTTAAATTCCTCATTATCTTTGGRCTACAGGGTAACAAAGTCCTACTTTATGTGGGTAATAACAAGAACAACAAAGAAAAGCTGGTGCTTAGTCTTTTTGAACCTATGAAAACAGGATCTTAGAGAGCACGAGGGCATTCAGAAGCCTGATACCTTGTGTTCTCCGACAGAATGTGTTACCTGACAGCCACCTTTATAGGAGGCATCCACTAAAATTAAGGGAAAAAAAAATAAAAGGTTGTTTAGTTGGATCACGGTTAGAGGCTAAGACAAGGAAAAAAAGACTTCACCCTTAACCTTGAGAAAGGAATGCAAGTGTTTATTTTCATTTGAAGATCTTATCCCTCTTCTCTTTGCTAGTTTGGGCTCTGTAACATGTGAAAGGTTTAGGAATGGCAACCAAGCTGTAGCTGGTACAAAGTTGGTTTTCAGTCTTAACTGTTTGTAGGCCCTACACAAYAGCTGCAGTCCTGGCAGCTCTTCTAGAGTGAGCCTTGTGGCCGATTTTCTACAGAATATTTGTAAACTGTACTAACAGACCACTTAACATACATGTAACAAAAAGAATTGCATAAAAGAATTCTGGCACTTTCTAAAGCCTGCAATTTCTTCCAAGTTCCTGGTTTACCTCACTCTGGCTTCTGCTTCTTCCATGCTTCAGATATTACACAAAAGTAACACTACTAACCTGTAAGATGTAGGAATGACTGTTTGGTCTCTTGAAATCAAGTAAGAGACCACAATGCCACAGTCTCACATGTAATTTGCTGAACTAAGTAGCTAAGGGGATAGGCAGTGGTAGTTAACCTATTTCAAATATTTTTATGTATTTCTTTTTAGAAATTGGAGTCAAGCTCTTCTTAAACTAGATGTCTTGCACTTTGGCTTTCAAAAAAGGGATTCTTTTGAATTAGTTGATCTAAGGGATCTTTGTTATTATCTCCCTCTTACATTGTTATTGTATTTGCATCTTTTTGATGTTGAGGGAACACGAGTGCCTGCACACTGACTTTCTCCTTTTCCGAATGTGTTAATACATTTGGACTAACATCAACAAAATATAGCACTATTRAAGTGGGCAGGTGTGGAGAGACTGGCCAAAAGTAAGTAAGTGAGAGGTTACTGTTCACCTTGGGGTTCTGAAAGGGTTGTCAAATGTCGGTGCCTTCTTGGGGATAATAAATTTTGAAGGTGTAAACTGTAACTCCTTACCAGAGAAGCAAACTTGCTAACTTTTTGCCTTTTCTCTAGGAGATATTCTAACCCATACAGCTGGAAAGTTTATGCTGGGATCCTGAATCAGAAAGATATGATCTTCATAAATGGATACAATGTGCAAAAAGTAATTTCCCACCCAGATTATGATGCAGATTCTAAAGACAACGATGTCGCTCTCATGAAGTTAGAGACCCCATTGACTTTTAATGGTATGCACTCTGCTCTTCCTAAAGGCAAAAAAAAAAGTATTAAGAAAGATTATAATAAACATATCTTTTAAAACTTAGGAAGTTAGTCAAGAGATCCTTCTAAAAACTGGGTGAACATGAAGTGTGGGTAGAGATGGGGTAGCCCTGTGACAGGGGCTGAATACTGAGTTTTCTAAGTAATGATTATTTAAATCTAATACATACCAAAGGTTTGCATACAGAAGTTTATTGAAGGGAGTGGGTTAGCTTTTAACTCACTTGTTGTCCATCTACTGCAAAATACTCTATWTTGCCTAAGTGTCTTTGCCTCTTGTATGTGTAGTCTCAGCATGTTATGGTGTAGCTATTGACTAAGCTTTAAGCCAAATATATCCACAGGCTGTGGAAAAAAATTAAATRTCTCAAGTTCCTGCTCATACTCTTTTGTTTGTTTGTTTCTGAAACTTGTTATATTTAAAGGGCCTTTTCTTAAAGGTGTCAGTGATTGTAAGCAAGAAGTAAAAACTGGAAGACAAAGAATTCTTTAAACATAAAGGACTTCCTACAGGTGCTATCTCTATAGGTGCTTTATGTTTCAGTGCATCAAGTCAAGGCTACTAGAAAAAAATGAAAGAGGTTTTCTGATGCTGAGAATATGGAGGTTGTGTGTTTACCACACATATTTTTGTGCCATGATTTCCCATGTATTTAAMACTTTTTGTATACGGGCTGCATCCAGTCCTGCTTGTTCTATGATTGTTTCAGTAGGGTTTTGCAAAGAGACTGCAGAAAGCTATTGTGAAAGGCCTGTTGCCTATCTGTTATTGTTAAAGTTCTCTGAAGATTTTCTTCTCCTTTTTAYTTCTTTACTATCAAAACAGCTGGCATTAATTATCTTGATAGCCTGAAGAACAGGGCTAGTACAGTTCACTGTGCTTGTTCCTCACTTTGAGGTCAAGGCTAAGCAGCATCTTAGCAGGGAAAGGGCAGCTCCTAAGCTCTCTAGTGCTGCGTACATGGTGCAATAATTGGTTAACTGCCTGGAGTTGAAATACAGAGAAAATATGCAGTGAGTTTGTATTTATGTATARAGTAAGAGCTGGCCGTGTTCAAATGTTTCCAGGGTGTTTATTTTGAATTATGCCTGGACATGGAATGACAGCCTGTCACTTTGTTTGCTTTGTAGACAATATAAGGGCAGTTTGTCTRCCCAACCCGGGAATGATGTTCGAGCCCAATGAGGAGTGCTGGATATCTGGGTGGGGAGCAGAGGCTGAAGGAGGTAAGGGGGGCTCCAAGATGCTTTTGTCTTGTACAAAATCAGTCCCCAGATGAGCCAGATCTATGAATACCCCATATTATTTGGGGCTACAGTTGTCAGGCTCCACTTCCTCTTACTTTACAATATGTACAATAACTTACTGACCTCTTGGAAGGGAGTTTCAATGTCGTGCTAGGGGTCATACACCTAAATGTCTGTTCTCATGTGTCCATTTTTCTTCATCTCGGGATCTGTGACAGCAACATTGTCTGATGCTTGTTCTGATTTTGTCCCTGTGTCTGTATTTTTGTGTATGTCTCAACTTCAGGCAAAACATCAGATAGCTTGAGGTGTGCTATGGTGCGCTTAATAGAACATTCTAGATGTAATTATGTCTCTGTCTATAATGGGATGATTTTGCCTACAATGATCTGTGCTGGATTTCTCAGAGGAGGAGTTGATTCCTGTCAGGTAATATTTTCATATACAGATTTTTTTTTAAATAAAAACTAATAATGATGTGATTATTTTAAGTCATATTATTAGTATTATTTAAAAATCTTTTGCTAATTATAAACTGATTGTACTGAAAAAAACCTAAAGTRACTAACATTTCAGGCAGCCTTTTAGTTCCTTTTGTGCTGCATCCTTTTAAAAGGGAGAACTTTTGTTAGAATATTCTGAATAGCTGCCAGTGCTCAGTTCTTGCTAAGAACATGAAGAGGGTGAGACAGTCCTTTTTTTTTAATGCTTTGATGATGGTTTTTGTTGTCTTGTGCTTGAAAATCAATGAATAATACTCTTCATAACCACGTAAAAACTCTAGTATTACCCTTGTGAATGGGGAAGTCTATAAACTGTCTCAGATAGTGCTTTGGGCAAATGATTTTCATGCATATCACATTGTCATTTAATACTGTAATGGTTATAGCAAGTTGTTTCAGTCTGGAAATAATATTTCTTTTATTTTAAGCCTATGTGAACCTACTCCTGAAAGGATATGAATTGTGGTTTTCCAGGTGGTCAGATAACTAATGATGTGCCTATGTTTTGTGCAGGGTGACAGTGGAGGTCCTTTAGTGACTAATAAAAACTCTTTGTGGTGGTTGGTTGGAGATACCAGCTGGGGAACTGGCTGTGCTAGTCCAAACAAACCTGGAGTTTATGGGAATATGACTGTGTTTACAGACTGGATTTATAAAATCATGCAGGTAAAATATTTGGAGGTTTTAATATTTTTAAATATCCCAGATCCTGAAACTTGAATTTAAATATTTATAACCTGGGTCTTGTCTGACACTAAAGCTATTTCCTTGAGAAGTGTCCAAATAACTGGTAAGACAGAGTCTCTTAGCAGAGCTGCTTTGTTTGAATAAGCCCTTTTTTTTCCCCCTGTGTTTTAAACAGGCAAACAGATGACAACATTCTCTGTCCTTTTTGCTGATTGATGTTACTGAGAACAAACCTAAATGAAGCCGTGGGTGCCCGGGATATTTATTCACCTTACAGATGATTTTTCTTTCTGAATTTTATTTTTAAAAAGCAACATGAAGGATCACACGCTCGGTTCTGTGCTGGTTACAGTGACTGATTTAATCAATGAAGATCTATCACAATAAGCACCTCTCTCCTGAATGTGGTGCCTGGCAGAAAGCTGTTCTGCTTGGAGAAAGCAGAAAGTCAACTGCTTACTCTGTTTTAAGTAACTTTCACTGGATAATCATCAGGTGCACGTTCATAATGACAATCGTGATCACAATTTAACTTCAGGTTTTTGTAGCAGGATGTTGAGGCAGTTGGTTTAGTCATGTTTAAAATGATGTGAACATAGAATCTCTGAGCTGCTGGTTGGCATTTTAAGGAAAAAAGTGATTTTTTTTTTTCGATATATACGGAATATATGAAGGGAAGATTTCATGCACTACAATAGAGGCACAGAAGAAATACTGTACATTTAACCTGTTAAAAATCCTCAGGATCTTGACAGCTGTTGTCCAGGTCAGATCGTCCAAGGCAAGATCCACCTGACCACCTCAGTAATTAAAAGCGCTGTCCTGCCTTAAGCCACTGTGAATCCCTGAAGGACGAGAGCTGCCGTCGCTCCAGGCTGCAGCAGGGAGCAGCGGGATAGGGGTCCTGTTGGGGAGGTCGACAACTGCTCCCATCAGAGCACGCCTCCCAAAGGGCAAGGTTTGCTCTGTTTATTATAGCTGTGTTGCAAGGGACAGGCCTCGGCTTGCAGCTGTGCGTGCAGAGGCTGGAGGTTATGTGCAAAGAACACACAGATCTGTGTCTGCCTAACCAGATGACTACCTCATTCATTAAATTTGGCTTTTAATTCCTTAAAGCTCTCCTCCTTAAAGAATCTGCATGTATGTTTTTAGTGAAAYGTGTTAAGCATCAGAGTGCTGTCTTAGCTAGGATTAAAAAAAATAATAATAATTTATAATCATAGTACAGAGGATCAAGAAGCCATAACAAGTTACTTTTGATAAAAAGGATGCATGTTTTGTGTGAAAAGACTCTACTAGTCTTGTTTTCTCTGTTGGTACTGAAATGCAGTTGTCTTGCAAGCAAACACTACACCAAATAAATTTTTTTTTTTTTTTTACAAATAGTTTTCCTTAGTGGTGGTTTGTGCTTGTTTACGCGTATTCTTGGAAGCAGTTGCTGAACTCAGTGTCTGAAGTCCTCTAAAAACCTGATTCAAACAAAATTCAAGTGCTTGATTCAGGATTTTTCTTTTTTAATTCCAATACTTCCAGTACTTGAAGAAACTCGGGGATAGAAAAAGAAGTTGCATGTCTACATGCACTGAGGTTCTTCAGTGCCTGAGCTGGATGAAATCATTCCAGCCGGTGAGCGTAGCCAGATCAAGCAGCTGGCCTAAAGGCAGCGGGCTGAGGTAGTCGCACCCAGTTTTGTTAATATATTCTGTTAATGCACCCCTGTTTGTTACTCTTGCCTGAAGCCATGTGTACCTGCCTCTCTTCCCGAGGTCTGGGAGGGTGTTTTCACTGGCACATGAGCATGAAGTGTGCCCCGGGGAATACCATGAAGTGSTCAACGAATCTGAGGAATGTTCAACACTGAGATTTAAAAAGAAAAAAAAGACTGAGTGTTAAGGCAGGGGGCTTTTAGAGGCTTCAGACCCACAGCACTGTAAGCCAATTGTGGCAAAACACGGCAGTGCAATGCGGAAGAGCGACCTGGTGTTGAGAGAGGGGTAAGAAGGCTGCATGCTCCACTTGAGATAAATGCCACAGGTTCAGAGTCACCCGGCTGCTGCTGCAGGTCACGTCAGAGGATCACACACCTCCTGTGTTTTTACCCTTCACTTAAAATAATGTTTTGCTTGGAAGCATTTCTTTTCCGTCTTTCTTAGAAAGTGCGGARTAACACTGGAGCACAATTCTTTAGCTGGATGCAGGCCTTCTTTGTGCTATGCTAAGCACAGCTTTGTCCATTTAAAATTAATCCTCTATATGAAGGATACCATAAATACAATGTTCAACAGTATTCAGCAGTATATTTTGCACTGGCTTCCATGAAAGGAAAGATCCACCATTTGGAAAGATTCACTTGGGCATGAAGAGGGAAGGGCGACAGGTATTGAGCCATATGCTGCGACATCCTTCTGATGTTTAATRTCCTGTGTGGTTTAATCTGTTCTGGACATCCAAACCCAGGCAGTCAGCAATTTTCCCCATCAGCCTCTAAATTTCAGGCAATGCTCCAGACAGCCAGAAGAAAAGCCCCGTAGGATTTTTCTACRAATCAGAGAACCAAGAAATGAAGAACAGACCCAGGGGCACCCTGTCAATGCACTCACTGGCTATCATTAAGGTAACGACATTTTCTCAATAGACTGGAGCAGTTTCATGCTTGATTTGTGCCCCATCTCTGCTTGTTGGGATGGGACTTCGGGAGCAAAGCTTGGCACAATCATCTCCCAGGCAAGGACACACATCCAGCAGCCACGATGAAGCAAGAGAGCAAAAGGAAGCAGGGAATCACCTCCCACCCCAAACAACACAAGCCTCAGCTAGGAAAGTGAGTTTGATCTCTGAAGTTTGGAGATTATCTGAAATTCCCCCAACCTCACTTAAAAAAAGAAACAAAAACCCCTCTCAACTCTTATCTTTTAATAATTATTTTAATGMTATGCAATAATCTCATAAAATGAATGCTTAAAATATGATAATGTGATTAATTTCGTATACAGGCAAATGTTTCCGTGTATATACTGTGAGAAATATAGTAGAAGGATCAATTTTGAGAATTCTAAAAGTAAATGTTGAAGGTCAATGACTACCTTAATATTTTAGCAAATTATACACAGCTCATTAATAACACTAGAAATAGTTGAAAAACACTTCAAAATTCAATGAAGCTGCAGATTGGCAAAGTTTCTTAGATACTGGCAGGCYTGGGTGAGACAATTAACTCGCTGAGTGAGTGAATTCCTATATTTAGCAACTTCACTGTCTTCGTGAAGTAAAAAATTTATGTTTTCTTTTCCTTGCAAAAGTTGTAGCATTTTGGTCTGTAAGTTATCTCCAAAGTTTTGGAGGGCAGAAAACAGAATTATCAAAGGAATCTGATTGGAGAGGCGAGTCTTTGCTGTCTGCAAGGAAGAGATAAAGAAATGGCAATTAGATTTTTTTTTCTCTGAACAAAGCAATAGAAAGGAGTTATAGATAATCTAGTAAGAAATAATAGCACATTTTCCTAAAGAACATGACCACCACTAAAAATTAAGGAGACTTGGGAATGTCACCTGCTCTTTTTTCCCTAAAGGTTCTAAGCCCAGTATAGGTTATTCCCTACACATTTCTCATGGCTGTCAAAGGCTATCAGCTGTGCTAGGGACATATATGATGAATATTATTTGTTTGCAGTTTATRCCTTCAAATTCAACCTGCATGAACAATGTCAACCCACTGTGATACAGGAGATATGACAGATTCTCCTAGGTGGTAAATTYGTGTATTGAGATGTCATTTTTGATGTGGCTGCCCTTTTAAGTATAAACACTTTGGAATAAGCATTAGTCTTAAGGAACAAAATGTCTACGACAATGGCATTTGATTGTGAATACAACTATTTGTATCTTAATAAGATAATTTTCTGTTTAATGTGACAACCTATCTGTCTGAGATTGAGAGGTGCTTGCCACAGAGAAGTTGGTATTGTGGTGGGAAGAGGGCTATCAGCTTGTGCTTTTGGGCAAGGGAAGGTTCAATGCCTCTCCACTGCTGGAACGGACCTGAACTCAKCTGTCCTCCACGCAGGAGAGAGACCTGGATGCTGTTCTCCTTTCTGCATGTGGGAGCCTGACTTGAAAAAGACGTTGGGAAGACCAGGTGAAGGTACATCTGATGTTTAAGTCCTAAAGGGCTTAAGTAGTCCCTTACCAGTGAAATCTGAACTTTTCCTGGCCTTAAATACCTCCAGAACTCACCATCTGCAAGCCTTTACATGAGGATGGGTTTGAGCTCAAGATGAAAASATACCTAAATGTAGGTCTTTTTAAGCTCCCCAGCTAGTCTGYGGAGAGGTGGTCAATACAGAACTGGGTCAGAAAAGGCACTTACTGAGCCTATCCATTCTCTGGGCACCACTGACTATGGTGGGAGGGAGGGATGATGCTTTGAATGTGGRCATTTTCTGAAGATAAATCTCACACAGACCTTGACAGAGCTGCCATAAATGATGTAGGCTCATGAGTGTTATTTTCAAAAGCCATAGACATTTAAGGGCTCCAATGCCAAGGCAGGTGAATTCAGCATCTTAAGTACAACGTGATGTGATGCCCTGGTATTTTTTACTGTTGAAAAACTGGTGCTTACGGTAACAGTGTACTTATTAAAAGCACAACTAGTATTCAAAACTTTGTCTGAAAGCAGAGTGTATATTGGAGAAGGGAAGGCCAGGGAAGCAAATTTGCAAATTTGCCTTTGGCTCTTGCTGTCTTACTGCCATTACCCGGAAGGGCAGCCCAAACACTGAAATGTAGGAATTTGTGAAAAACCCTGCTATTGAAATTCAAGGTGAACCACTACCTAAGCTACTGGCTATTAATAATTAACTTGTTGCTTTCTGAGGGACTTTTGCGAAGCAAAGGTCAACACCAGAAAAGCAAGTTCTCAATTCCAGGTGTTCCCTTTGTTGCCTCACTCTAATGTGACACGGCTGGTGGTGCCAGTTATGCCTGGGCTTTTTCATTGCTGGCTGCCAGAAGCTGATGTGGACAGAAGCTATGTGGACGAGGCACCTGCACCCTGTGACTACTTTTCATGCATGGTAGCCTGCTCGGTGCCTGCTGCTGTTATGTTTGTGTTCATTGCAGCAAGATTGCACTGAGGGACAGAGTCTATAGCACGCAGAGTGCAACAGAAATGCTCTTCTGTAGGCTGTAAACTCACGCTGAAATACACTTGTGTGTGAGAAATCATTCCCTCGATGTTGGGGGAATCTTGCTTTGAAACAGATACAAAGCCTTGAGCCAAAGGCTGTGGTTTCTCCTGGGCGTTGCTTTTTCCCCCCTGAATGGCATTTAAATAAGGAGTGTAGCTGTAGTCCTGGCAGTATATTATATTCTCCATTTTAAACTGGTTCTGGATGTTTCTTTCAGCCTCTTCTGCTTGTTGCTCCTTAATGTCTTCTATGCTGGCCTAGGATAGGAGAAAACGATAAACTCTGAGCAAAGTTTGCTTCCTTTAGGAAGATGCCAGTGCTTAGCATTGTCCCCAGGGAAAGGCAAGGTCGGACACAGCATTCCACAGCTCTAACTGCTGCACTGTCCAATCCCAGGCTGGGATTGGGAGCTCCTGGGAGCTCATCATCACGCTTAGATACCTGTTCCTCTCTGGTCAAAGAGCAGGGAAATGTGACACTACGTCCCTGCCCTAAACTCCTGCACAGGATGGGTCAAAACTGACTTCCTGGAAAACACTAAGCCTGATAGGAGCAGGCAGCAGTTGCTAGTGATGAGTTCAGCCCGCCCTCAGGTTTTGCAGGTATTTTYACCGTGTCATACTTCTGCAGAGAGCAGTGACAATAGTACCTATATGAACTCCATTTCCTCTCCTGCCCTCCTCAGAAAACTCTGGTCTTCTATCTGTTTTCAGCACATCACCCCTAATACTTGGGCATTTTTATTACTGCTATTTACTGGTCTTTTTTGAAAATCTCATATGAAACTTTGTGGGGAGCAAGACGTCTCTTCAGTCATCCTGAAAGTYTCTTGAAATGCTTTCTTAGCATCCCCTGGACTGAAGTCTTAAAACACTGAAGTCATTTTCTTATGTCTACTGCTGCTGTCCTTCATGAGCAATGAGACTCCCACACTGATTAACACTCTGGTTTGCCTTTCAGAAAGCCAAAAGCGTTATTAAATTCTCTCTGGCTACCCACATGCTTATAAATCGTTGCAGAAATGAAATTTGAAATTAATTTGTAAGTCTTTAAGAGAGTCATGCTAGGTTTTCTCAGACCAGTGTTTTATGCATCAAAAATGCAACCAGAATGAATGAAAAAGCTSCATTTTAGACCTTGCCAAAAGGTAYTGAAATACGCTTTGTCAAAGCGTATTTGACAAAATGCATTTTCATTAATTCCAAAATAAATGTTCTGTTGTACCATAAGCAAAGCTGTGTTTACAAGTGGCATTCTGTCTTACTCTTATCCCAGGTTATATGTAGCCTCTTACCTTGACAGCTCTATATAGATTGTGAAAATCAGCAAAATGCTTTTTAGTGAGTCTCAGAAAAGACTCTTCAACCAGGCCTAAGGGAAGAAGAGAGAAACCATATGGAATGTCAAGTTCTTGCCATGAGCTGTTTGCACAGGAGAGTAGCGCGGGAATTCAAGCCAGCATCATGCTCGCAGGTTACTAAGTCAGGCTTTCTTGGTATTACTCTACTGACATCTGCACCCCTGTTTGGTAGCCTCGTGGCAGGAAAGGCTGAAAGACCTCAAATAAATTCGTTTTCCCAGCCAAAGGCTACCTGGATTGGACTGATAACAAAATACCACAGTCACAAAGTCTAATTCAGGWCTTTTGGCAGGTGAGTCAGCAATGGAGACATGGGAGGATGACATACTCCTTCCTTTGGTGGAGGATCATAATTCATGACTGGATGAATCATGGACACCTCCACCTATCAGCACAGTTGGTGTGTAATAAGTGCAAATGTGCAATGAATTTGCAAAGACAGTGGATTCCTACTTTAGGGTTTGYGTGTTGCACTGCATGGGTGAAGGCCACATGAGACCCACAAGACATACCAACCACAGTGTTCATCATCTCAATAGCTGGCACCTCCAGTTGCGTGACTTGCTCTTTTATAATATCTTCAAAAGTCCTATAACTGGTAAAGCCTGGGAGCTCCCGTCCACGATACTGGGATTCATATTTCCTTACCTTTTCAGGTACAGTATCTGTAACTGTAAAATTAAAATTGCTTTAATACTATATTTATAGCAAGAAGGAAGTATATGTCTTCTCTCTGAAAATGGTCTTGGGAAGAGTTACTTCTGAGCTGATCTTTCAAGGAATGTGCTTATTACAGAACTGAACTAACATACTTTATTGCTTTATGAATGAGACATTTCACTCATTTGAGTAAGCATCTAAAATGACAGAAAGCAACCCAGAAATGATAATAGGGCTCAAAATTACTGACTCTTTCCGGAATCAGTACTGTCTCAGATTTGGGCACTACCAGCCAATTTTGAGGTGTATTAAAAAATAATTTTTTTTTTTTTTTTTTAGTAAAATCCAGTAAACAAGCTTATCTCAGGGAATCTAATGTAGACTAGATAGTTTTGGTTAAGACAGCATAGTCAATATGCCTTTGTTAATGTTATAGGAATTTGCCATCTTAAATGAGAAACACCAAATCTTTCAAATCAAATGCAAGTGATGTTTTTCTTTGCTTACCCTTCATACTAGTATTATGGAGAACTACTTCCCAAGTTTGAAACTCTTTGCGGATTTTTGTAAACAACCTGGTTTCATTTTCAGATATATGTTCCTCTCCTTTTATTGAGTTAGCAATGTCTTCATTAAACTGTTTGATAAGCTGTAATATATTAAAAAAAGAAAAAAAAAAGCAAGTAACTTTTTTTTTCAGATGTATTTATATAAGTTAAGCGAATCTGCTGTTGTTTGATGATCAAGTAGGTGGACTGTTCATTGAAAACATCCCTTCTCTTTTGCTCCTGGTATTTCTGCAAAGTCAGCACATCTAGGGGGAGAATAACCTGATCTGTGGGCTCTCAGAATTATTTACTAAATTCTAACTGACCAGACCTAAACAAAATCTTTGAAGACTGATAGGCCTGCACAAACGCTGCTGCTGGCTTGCAGAAAATATGACTTATGATTCTTCCTGTGAGGAAAGAAACCCACCTGGACTTGCAAACCATTTTTTCAAATGAGGGCCTCAATTAATTTTATGAGAAGCATAAATAATGAGAATCTTCTAAAATGCTAAGCTAGCAAGACTGTAAGTTTTCTCTCTCCAGCGTGACTGATTTTGATGAATGAATCAAGTTGTTCTTTAGTTCAGGAAGAAAAAAAAGTGCTGGGAAGTCCTCTAATCCATTATTTTTTGCCAGGAGACATGATGGCAGGTATTTGTGCAATCTATTGTCAAGATCCTTCAATGGCAGGTTCTACAAGTAATGCGCACCGATGCTTCACCAGTGCGTTGCCACGTAGCACGTTTCTCTCTCCAGCAACTACTTTCCTTTGCTGTTCTGTAACCAAACCAACATTGATACTTACCTCTGTGAGCAAAAGCAGCTTATCGGACTCTTTTGTGAGCATGCTTCGCTTGTAGGTGCGGAGTACTTGCAAGCTTTTTTTGCGTTCCGTGCATATTTGGCTCTCTAGCGCAGGCAAAATTTTCTGGAGTGGGGGGAGTGACAAAAGAAAGATGATTAGGTAGTTTGGACATGCCTCTTTTTGTTTATTTATTTATTTTTGGTGGGATGTGGAGTGGAGGACAGAAAGGAGAACTGCACTGAGATCGACCCAAGCCTGCACATTAACTGTTGCCGTCAGGAGACTGAATGCATTTCCTCTCCCTGTTGCTCATATCCCTTGTATGACAGTAGGATAGCACAGAAGTAAAAATATGACCTTCACTAAAAAAAGAAAAAAAAAAAAAGACAGGGAAATGTTTTGATATCAGGGCTGGACCTTGTGGTGAGGTGGGCAGAACATTTCACTCACAGCAGAATGTTAGCAGAAGGTTTCACTCACTTGAGCCAAAAAGTATGTCCTGCTTTCTGGTAGCAGGGGGGTGATGATGTAGGGAAGGTACTGAATCCTCAATTTCTGATAAATATGTGACTGACCATAGCTCTTTGGTTGCTTATTTGATTGCTTATTTTATGTAAATTTACATAAATACATATATTTTTCCTCTTTCAGCCCTGAATTGAAAAGTTCTTTGTATTTCAGCATTTTTCCAGAATAGAAAAATATGTATTACAATTACATATATAATAAAATAATATATTAGCATTATACTATAGTAAAGTAACTAATTTTTTACTTGAGATTGAAGATATATTAAATTCATAGAAATTATTTTGCTTTGGCAACCTGACAGTAATAACTCGTCACCGAGCCATCAAAGCTGTTCACAAACAGAAGGAAATATCAGGACTAGCAGTAAAAAAACAGGAGTTACGAGTCACAGGCAAATAAAGTAATTTGCTTGTTGCCAATCCTTACTTAGGCTAAAGGCAAATTTGAGAGCAGATATGGGTTTCCATAAACACTATGCAAATAACTTTTAACTTTTTTTTTTTTTTAATTGCAATCCAAGGCTAAAGAATTTGGCTTATTGTTAAATAGTAATGCATACAAAAAGCTTCATATGACGTCTCTGTTACTTACAGTAATATGTTCCACAAGTTCTTTTGTGAGCTTCTTTGCCAGAAGAGGGATAGTGGCCTTTTCTTCACTCAGAAGAGTGCTGCAAAAAATGGGGGAAAAGGTGGTTATGGACTGAGYGCTTTTGCAGGGTAAGGGAGCAACACTGCTTTGTTTTTACTGCTACACAGATTAAGTAAAGAGGAGTGCCAGTGCAAGCACAGGAACAACTCAGGAGCTTCTGAGCCCAACAGCTTTTTTACAAGAATTGACAACTACCGATACTTGCTAAAGAAAAGGAAACAGGGAAGGCTGAAAATAGCATTTACTATCAGCACAACAGAATGCTGCTGCACTGTTGCTGCATGTGATGAGCCTGCTGAACTGAAATCCTTTTCATTTGTACATATACAGCAGCTGATTTGCTGCCAAGTCATCTTCTGGGGAAAACTGTGCCCTCAACACAAGCAGCTGTTTTTTCTCTTGCTAAATTTCACACAGTTTTTCGGTGAATAGAAATACTCAGCAAAGTACTTGCAGTGCTTGGATACTTGGCCTGATTTCCTTGAGGCTATTCTGAACTTCTGAGGTTCACTGCACTTCTCCRAGGGTTAATTAAGCTATTCATCAAACTTGCAACTAAAATATATTTAAAAAATTATCTGACATGTAAAATTCTGCTCACTTACTGTACGGCAAGACTACTTGGGCAGGATAAAAAATAGCAGACAGAATTCCTGTTTGCAATCCTAACTGAAATCTCAGAAACTCAACAGGCACTTTTCTTTCTTTTTTTTCTTCAGTGACTTTAGTGCATTAGATTAGATCCTTTACATGAGAACTACCTAAAATGTTTATGCTTCTCAAAGAAATCTTTCTCCTGCTGGATTGCAGAGGCTAAGGTCAGATTGTTGTGGATGTCCTGTTGCCCACGACACTTCACGATCATGTAACCTTTTTTGAGGGGGATGGTCCGATTTCGTACTATGTTAACAATAGACTCCTCAGTTCCTTTGTCCACCAAATCAGGTTTTGTGAGGATTCCTGTGAAGTCACACAGAGAGAAAATTACTTGCACAGAAAGTAAAGGTGGAGAAGATCCATTAGGATATCTCTTCATCAGAGCAGGGATGTTTTGTACAGTGTTTTCTAAAGTAACTTCTTATCTCCATTTTGCTTTTTCTTTCCTAGAAAGCTCCCAGCTCCTGGGCTTTGCACTGTAAAACTTACTCTACAGTTGGACTTCCAACCATACCTTTTGCCTTGCTCACCTTTTTAACACCCAACAGCAAGGTTTTCCCACCATTAATTCTGAGGTTTTAAGTTTCCAGCGTCAGCAAGACTCAAAACCAGGATACTCAAAGCTGTACTGGCTCTCTTCCAGTTTTGTAAATAAATTCACAACAGCTTATTTAGCTTTTTTAGGTTTTTTTTTTTCTTAATTTGTAGAAGCAAATTTTGCATAACTGATGTGGAGTACAAAACATTAGATTGAATGGAAAATAATACACTTCTCCAACTTGTAGCACAGAAAAGCCTCACCGAGTGTCCTTTCTCCCTCGGGGTCCACCATGTGAGCCATTTTCAGTGCTTCTGTTGTTGCAATATCCACATTACACGGCACCACTACCAAAATGAGTGTCTCTTTGCTGCTGATARTATTTTTCAGTAGGTTTTTGATCTGTAATATAATACGGTAGAAATGAAGTTCAGTAAAATCAGATGCTAGAATGTAGGCTGTGACCATCTCTGTCAATACTAGTTAACTTTGCTGTCGGATGGCATGCAATGTCACATACACGGAGGATACTTTTACAGGCTAAAAGATGGCCTGAAAATGTCAGCAGAAGGATGCAGCCTCTTGCTTTCTAAAGATATAGAAACAAACATCTAACATCCAAACATCTAATACGAATGAAAACAGACTGTTATTATACTTGTCCTGAAAGCTATAAAAAAACCCCAGCACATTCATGATGGAAATAATATTTCATAAATAACCATGTGTAAGAAAAAACAATATCTGATGACTAATTACAAACCTATGAAAAGACAGCAAACCATATTATGCTGCTAAATGTCAAATTGGTATCTCTGAAAAAAGACAAAAGCATTTGACTTGCATTTTAGTAGACCACTAGTGTAAAAACAAATCTCACAAGACATTTAGTTGACATTGCTTCCATGTTGCAGTCCCAAACTACAAGTGTTTCTCATGGTTTCTGTTGTACTGCAACTGGTTCACACTACTCTATTGTGCTTATACTGTATTAAATTAACTCTTTATTCAGAGTTTTCRTTAAGCTGACTCTACTTGCCTTGTTTTCTACTTGCCTTCCAGCCTGATTTGTGAGAAAATAAAATTATATAACCTCCATGTCTGAAACATGCAGGCATCTGGAGACAATGGAAATGTATGGATGATATTGCACTAGCTGCTTTCTCTTGTATATAAATGAAAAATTACTATCTAATTGTAAAATGAAATTTTTCCTGTCCGAAGAGTAAAATCCATTTTTATTTCCTTTGCTGCTCTTGCAAGTTTACCCAATCCTTTCTCATTCTTAAACTGACATGTCCAGCTGATACTACTCTTATTCCAACTTTGTACTTCAAGCTATCTTAATAGAAATAATACACCCAGTTCCTGCCCATCATGCTCGAGTCCTGTCCTCATACAGCTATATTGGCCTTCCCTAGCTGTTTCTTCTAAAAGCTACGTGAGGTCTGCTGTGATTGCTTAGATGATCAGAAAAAAAGTGGGTCACATTCTGATCTCCCTATATGTAAGAGGCAACAAAGCACTGAACCAGTATGAGAAAGTTTTCGGTCTTGCTCCAGAAGAGCTTCCATCACCTCAACTGTAGTCATCTTTACTAAACATATCCACAGAACTGGTCAGATATAAGGCATTTTGAGACCCAGCAATCTCCAGTCTGCAGTCCAGCCAAGCACTGTGTTCAGAGACAGTCTGCCTGTGAAACAGTGTCCATACAACTGGGTTATGCCAAGTTGCCATGGGTGGTTCTGTCAAGGTTGTGTCATTCACAGCCAGCTTGGCCATCTTTCACCTGCACTACAGCACTGAGAGAGGATCCTGGTCCTTGCCTGTTAGATACAATATTGTAGCTTTAATTCTGGCCTGGAGGCTGAGTATAACAACCCTAGTATCCTGTACCAAAGACTGAYGTGTAAGGTAGGTTAGAAAAAGTCCCTTTGCACAGGTTAACACATAAGACTGAGTTTTACCTGGTCACCAATGTCTTTTGGCTGATCTCCTACAGCCACTCTGGCAATTCCAGGAAGATCAATTAGTGTCAGGTCTGGGACAGTTGAGGACCAGACTTCTAGGGATATTAGTTCTCTACTGATGGCACCTTTAGTACCAGCCACAACATCCTGGGCTAGAAGGAGAAAAGAGCAAGGCAATGTATAAAAGGTTAAAAAAATGCACCAAAGTGATTTTTAGAAAGGAATACAATAAATACACAATGAAAACTATCTACTACCACCTAAAACTCTTTTAGACATGGCTTTTTCTCTGGCACAGCCAAGCACAGATATCCATTTATGGAAAATCTTAAGGAAATTATTAGGGAATACATAATTTCCTTTTCGAATGTGAACTATAATATTTTACACAGTACATACTTATTGTGTCACATAAACAGCCAAATGCATCAAAATATGCAAAATCATAATAAACTATAATAAAACAATATAATGAACTATATAACAAACAATATAACAAAACAATAAAACTATAACAGAAGTGATAGGATATTAGCCAGTTACAGAATGTGCTTTCTCAAAATCAAAATCAAATCTCTTTTTAGACATTAACTAATTATTGGCAGCTTTGAAAGATAAATATATATTATTCTATATTATTCACAATTTGATTGTGAGGGTGAGAGCTCAAGTAATTTACTCCATGTCTTACACAGAAATAAGATGAGGACTATGAGCAGCACAGAGGAGCATGGAAGCAGCACATTCCCCTATGAGCACTGAATCACACTCATTACATTTACTTCATACAGCTTTGCAATTTTATGAATTCTCTTGGTGTTTGAGAGCAAAATAAATCACTTTTCATGAGATGAGCTCTGTAGTTATCTTAGTTAATACCACCACTAATTTTTGACGTATTTATTGAAAACTCCAAGCAACTTATGGAAAAACTAGTCAAACAACTTGGTAATGTTATAGAGCAGTGCAAATCAAGGACATCAGGACAATCCAAATCCATATGGACATTTCAGGCACATGCTTATTTGCCTTTTGGGTAACAAAAGTGTTTCCTTGCACTGCATGGAATATCATAAAAAYAAAGCAATGCTTGGGGCTGTGTTCACAGTAATTGGTATAAATTCTGTATGTCTTCCAATGTGTGCTCTTTCATTTCCTTCAGAATCATAAGGTTTCCAGCCCCAGAGGTCACAAGCCTTTCCCTGGGCTTTTGCACTGGAAATGTGAGCCCATAAGGCTTGGCATGTTCACAACTCAACAGATAATCTTCCAAAAAACAGATAAACAGCATCCAGTTGAGGACTTGGCTTGAGCTTTTATCAGACATAATGGATCATATTCACCATTGAAGTGGTGAGTAGTACAACACTCGATGCATCTATGCTATCCCATTTTCTTCTGCTCTGAATTTGGTTCTTGGCAGTTAAGATTACATTATATGTTAGTATGGAGACTACTGTCCAGCCTAAGAAAGAGGAAAAGGTAGTCACGGGAGATTGAGCAAGTCATATCAGAGGGGAACATGTTACAGCTTACCTCTTCTTATTGCTTTCTCCACCTCTGAGGGGTTCTCAAGCTCTTCCCGGACACGACGGTAACTAATTTTCCCTTTCCACTTCTGTGTATCAGGTGCTTTTTTGAGTTTAAGTTCCAAGGGGCATCTAGTAACAATACCTACAATAGTTCCAAAGATGGAATTAACTCATGTTAGCAATTGTTACATATAATACACAGAGAGTGTGCTGCAGATGGTGTAATGTACACAGATAGTACTTCTCATAGAGCCACAAAAATGTTCCAAGGGACCTTTAACGGTCTGTCATCCAGCTTCCCATTCTGAAGCAAGACTATCACCAGCTCTACATATGATCAGCTCTCAGCTTTGTCCAACTATATCATGTCAACTTCAAAGGATGGGGTGACCTGTTGCAGTGTTGCATCACCACCCTATGAAAAACATTTTTTTTCTCAAGTCCCTCCTGAAAGAATAGATGCATTGAGAATTGAGGCAATTTCAACTAGTTCAAAACTTGTGGAAATGATAGGTTTATAAACCTATAGTTTATGCACACATATACATAYATACATATAGAGCTGGAAGATGAATCATCTTGTGCTGCAAATAACTCTTCCAACAATCTTCTCTGATTTGATAACATCCAAGGCAGGCAATCATAAGTAAAGATTATTTTATATTCTATGCTAAAAAAAAATCTGTAAGAAAACTTTGATCCAAAAAAGAATTCTTATCCCAAGAACGCAAATTTCAAAATTAGTGTTTTATATGGGAGCGACACTCTGCTGAACTTGTAGTACTGCTTTCTGGSGAATACACTGTGCCAGCTGATGCTGCCTCTCAGGCTATCAACAATTTTGGGCAAGTATGCTACACTATACTTAGTCCTGATTCCTAGACTGTTGGGACCATGCAACCTGTTGGGACAACACTGCAGTTCCCCACTTGCACATCCATATCTTCTAACGGAATTTAGAGATGAGACAACATCCATAATTTAGTGCTCCATAACTKAGATACAGTCTCCGTGATGAGTTATCTATTCCCAGATGGGAAGGGAAAAAAAAAAAAGCCATTCTACTTCATCAATGTAAAATTTAGAAATTCAGARAGGACAAAATCTTACCATTTCCTCTAGGAAGAGCAATACCAGACAAGGCTTCCAGGACAGAGCTTTTTCCAGAGCTCTGGTCTCCAATCACTGCGATCACAGGCAAAGCTATGTCTTTTTCTATTCCAAGAGCCCTCAGACTGTCGATGAGATCAATGCAGGGGCGGATCTTTTGCTCGTATTGTTTGTACAAGGTGTGTTCTTCTGTCTGTTAGAATTGAAGTTGCATTTTTTGTAACTTTTAGATAAGCTGCTTTCACAAAAACCCTCTGGGCATTTTTTTCCAGCTTATCATCTCTAATAAACCTTATATACTGCTGTCACTCTACATCTCATAACACTGTACACCTTGCACCTCCATGTTATAAGTAGGTGTCTGCAAATACAGCCGAATCATTTCAGAYTGGCTCAGTGATTACAACATTTTTGATAAAAATACCAAACTTGGTAAGCTATCATCTGAGAACTGTACAGGTGGAAAGTATGAAGAGACCCCACTACTAAAGGTGTTTTGTTCATTTATTTTTTTAATAACTGCCATTCTTGTTTTTACTTACCTACCAATGTACTGAAGGACATGTATGCAAATGAAAGCATACATTCATTAGTAATATAAATTTCATTAGTAAGAATAATTTATTAAAATTAAATCTTACGTTGAATTCTGAAGGTTTAGTTCTTGTGCACACACCAAAGGGATTCTGCTGTAGTGCCTTTAATAAGTGGCAAAAGGTCTTTTAAATCATGATCTCTTCTTTTTTGCCTCATTTTAGCCTAAAGTAAGGTAAGGTAAGGTAAGCAAGAATGGGTGATTTCTTTTAAATGACTGATTATTGTCACTTTTTGGTTTGGGTACTATGTACCAGATGTTAACATAGGATCTTCATTTTATGAAACCCAACCGGTTTCTTTTCAGCCTTTCCAAAACTGGTCCACTTGCAGTTAAATATTGCCAGGTATAAACATCAGCTTGGTCGGTTCTCCCAGTTCCTCCTTGTTCCAATCATGTTCCAGTCTGACTGCTGATTTATAAAAACATTTATAATTTTTGAGAACATCAATATTTAATAAGCCTTAACAGCCCAACCACATTTATCCCTGATTTTTAGAAAATAATAGCTGAAGTGGCTAACCATCACCTTGGTCTAAGAAAGCCATCTTTGAAAATATGAGTATCATCAGATGTAAGCAAGAAGAGTGGGTTTGTCTTTCAGAGATAAAAAAGATGGTATTCATTCCTGGATACAGATATTTTAAAACCATTTTGGTAACACCTTCCCACTATCTTCATTACAATGTTTGCTAGCTTGTAAATGCTTAATCATTCTTCAGAATTTCATTTACTAATCCACAGACTTAAAAAGAAAAAAATCTGCTCTGCCAATCTAGTGTTAAAAACAGAATACAGATAGATATTAACATTTCTTTATATTCCCATTGAAGGTATTGGASACGTTTGTAAAAAGTATCTTAAATTCAAGGATTCCTATTTATATTTGCTAATTGTGACCAATGAAACAGATATATATTGCACAGAAAAATTGCTCTTTGGCTGTTGCCATCCTGTTTTTTATATTTGTACTTTTTATGCCTATGGATTAATTGTACGTAGACATCTTCCCAGGTACACAAATGACTGCTTGGGCCCTGATCCCAGGAGAACTCCTGCCCTTAGACCTAGCAAGTGCAGATCAGCCAAGGAGACACAGGGATCAATTTGGGAGCACAGAGTGAAACACAAGAATTACCGAGAGGAGGATCTGTGCTCTTCCCTGCTACCTGGCTTACCTCATCCTCTACTTGGTAATACAATTTCTCTAACTTTTTCTGCCCCTTCTGAGACTTTCCCTCAGATGGAGACTTGTTCATTGCTTCCTCTGATGCCATCTTGTTTTGTTCCAGAGGAGCTTCTTCATATTCATCATCTGGTGGAAGAGGTACTGCGTAAGCATCTTTAAGTTCTTGTCTGGAAAGTGGCCCAGTTCCGCTTTCCTCCACAAAAGGATGAACATGTTTCCCATCCATGATTTGCTCATTTCTTGGCTTATCATGTGGCTTGCTCATATYGTCTGCGTTCCACTAACAGCGATCCCTGTCTGGTCCAGTGATCAGACAGTGATCCACTCTTCTATACAGATTCTGAAATCAAACATGGGATATTAAGTGAATCCAACTTGCAATAGTAGCAACAGCAGAGAAAATCGAAGCACCACCATTATTTACTGAGTCAAGCTTTCAGCAGATCCCACGTGCCAGATCTATTGCCAAAACCACGATTGCTTTCCAGAAGATACATTTGAAAAACTTCCCTCTACCTCTTCTCTGATTTTTGGAGTTTTTAGAAGCAAAAGTTGCAAGTGAGTAAACAAGAATATTCTGAACAACAACAACAACAAAATGCTAAGATAGGTTTTGTGGAAAGCTCCTCTTCCTCAGTGAAAGATTTTGCTGAAAAGTGCTTTGAGAAGCTCAATCACTACAGCACCCACTGAGCAGATTTGCACAGACTGAGCGAATACTTGCTTAATAACAGAAATAGCTCCTAAGATATGAAGTTTAGTAAGTTAGGGCTTCCTCTGCTATTCAAAATTGCTTCTCAAGAATAATACAAAAAAAAATACAGACACAAATAAAAAATACAAATGCAAATACAGAGGTTTGCTCAACATTGTGTTGGAAAAAAAGTGGTCTGGGAGTTTTGTATTTGCTTGCTTGGGTTTTCTTTGTATAAAAGTGAAGTTTTGCTATGAGCTTTTGCTGGAAGATCTGATGGGTGACTGAAGAACCTGGAGGTTCACAGTGTGACATTTTCTGGGAAAAGTGTGAACAAGGAAAAGAAGGAAGTGACCACCATATTTTTTGAAGCCAGAATAGGAATGAAAGAGAAATGAGAAAATGAAAAAAGAGATTGAGAAACAGCACTCTTTTTTTTTTGAAAGGTGTTCTTTTTTTTTTTTCTGAATTAAACTTGCAGATTTTCTAATTTAAACAGATGTCAAAGCAGGAAGATCAGACACAACATACGTTTAGAGAGAGAGAAAGAGAGAGAAAAAAAAAAGAACACATTAATTCCACACTTCCTGATTGGGTCTTCTTTTTAACAAAACAATTAAAATGTTACTTTTTTTTTTTTTTTTTAGTCCTGATCTTGGTCAGACTCAACAGTCATGGGCTCAAATATACTTCCAGAAAAAATCCACTCATATGTTTAGATATCCAAATAGCAATATATATAGCTGATACATAAAAAAATGCTAAAATAAAAAGTAAACTTGAATCACTAGAGTGAATAAGCTCAATTTTTGACCAGAAATAAGAGCTAATTGATCTACTTTTTTTTCTTTATAATTATTCCTTGCACAGTTCCTTCATCTTTCTCCGCCTCTCCCTTTTCATTACTGTTTCAACAACTGTTTCTGTTAATGAATATAAAAAGGGTTTGTTCCTGTGAGAGCTCAATGCATAACCTAAAATGAATATACATTCCCTGTTCTCTGATAGCCAGATTCTTTTGTCCTTTTCTATTGCCATATGATTTTTTTTGATAATGTCTTTAATAATAATTCCTTCTACGGCCTCTCTTGTTTGTCCAATCTATTCTATTCCCTCCCTCCAAATTAGAAGAAGGAGCAATTCCTATGATTTTTTGTTTTACCTGAAATATTACCAAGTGAAAATTTTCTGTCCCTTTGATATTTTTATTTACATTCCTCGGGTTAAGAGTCATTCATGTAGAGGTTTTAGTAAGTGGCCTCATAAATACAGTCATATTTCATTCACAGAGTGGTTATACAGAAGTTTTAGCCATCCTTATTTAAAAAAAAGACAAGATGCAAAAAATAACATAGCAAGGCCACCAGGAACAACAGGAGAGCTTGAAAGATAAACATGTGACACAACCAGGGTACTGAAACTTAAAGTGTTTAGTGCCAACTAAAAGTGCCAACTTCAAAACATTTCGGTTTTCTTTCCTGCCATGTAAACTCACAGACCACCAAGTGGTTGAGGTTGGAAGGGGCATCTAGAGATCATCTCCCTGCTCCAGCAGGGACACCCAGAGCACGGGGCGCAGGGTGGCAKCCAGGTGGGTTTGGAAGATCTCCAGAGAAGGAGACTCCACAGCCTCCCTGGGCAGCCTGTGCCAGGGCTCTGGCACCCTCAAACTCCCTCTTCAACTAGGTCTCCAGTGTAGACAGAAGTGCCATACAGATATGCAAGCATATAAATATACCTAAATAAAGCAGCAGAGTAAATAAATGTAATTTTGGTGGCTAGCCAGCTTTTCTGCCCCTGGATCTGAATAAAGTTAGTTAAGTTGAGGCAACTCTTCACCGTGCCATGCAGACATTGTGCACTGAGCCTTCACAACCTCAAAAGCAGAAGTAGAGGCAGAAAAATAGACAGAAGGAAGAAAAGGAGAGGCATTTTTTCAAGTGACCTCTGAAACTAGCAAAATTTCATACTAGTGAATGATGTGCTATTCTGCTATAGAATAGCAGAATAGTAGAATACTCTACTATAGAATAGCAGGTACGATACTCTTCTGTATGACTTAGTATTCTACTATTAGTAGAAGCGGGATAACACTCCTTACCAGAGCTGGCAGTTGTCAGCTCTATCTGCATTTTCCAAGGAAGTGAAGGGCTGCACTGCTTACAATGCTATAAATCATCTAGAGCATGTTTCTGCACAGTAGAAAAACATATTACCTATACACAAGTTATGTATTTAAAAAAGAATRCTCCTATTTACATGCTATCTTTCCATTACTTCCATGAATTAAAGATAATTTAAACTCATATGATAATTTAAAAGAGAGGGAAAGACATTATTACCTGGTAGTGTCCACAGCAGTGATGAGAACCGATAGGCTTTTCCTGTTTCTCTTTGTGCTTTCTATTTATCCTCTCCTCCCACAAAGAGTGGATGAGATCTAGAGGGTGGAAGAGAAATGAAACTATCATGAAACAAAACTTATTGTAAGACATATTCTGAAATAATGAAGATTAATCCTTGTTTATTGTTCTCCTTTCATTTTCTTCAGCAAATTTTTTGACATGACCTTTCCAGAAAACAGAAAYGAAACTTCTCCAAGGAGCAGTTGGCCTCGCAAAAACGTAACTTTRCAGTGTGATCTATGATCTTATTTTGTGACAGGTGTAAGGTACTCAAATGATGTTTTTTGGCATCTATAATATATTCTTTTTTCCCCTCATATATTAATGTGTGTTTTCTCACATATTRGCATCCTAGTGAGAAACTACAAACATACCAGAACAACCCTATCTTCACTCTCCCTCTGTTTCCCTTTGCAAATCCCACCTCTCTCCTCCTCCCACAATGTCCAAGTTCCCAGTTGTCCCTCACTCTTTCCCATGTGCCAGCACTGTTCACCCCACTGTCAGTTCCACAGCACCCTGTCATTTGCTGTGTGCATTACAGTAACACACAACACCCTAATGCAGGGTCCTGATCTCTTTGCATCCATCAGGCACTGTGCGAAGCACAGTCTCCTTCAGCACTTACCATAGGACCAGATGAACAAGCACACAGGCTTTTCTCAGCCCCTACAGAGTCAACCCTCACCTCGCCCCTTTCTGTCATGTGAATAGGTGAGACTTTAGAGCTGGCAAGAGATGAACAAATGTATGTTGAACTGTGTAAGCAGAACCTCCTAGTACAGTCCTTGCTGCTGCTGGAAACTGGCCATTTAACAATGCCGTGGCCAAGACAGTCTTGTAAGTTGGGACAGATAATCTCATTTTTTTGACACTTCTTTCACAGAAGCACAGAAGCAGAGAATGTTTAAGGTTGGAAGGGACCTCCAGAGATCATCTAGTCCAACCCCCTGCTCCAGCAGGGACACCCAGAGCACGGGGCACAGGGTGGCATCCAGGTGAATTTGGAAGATCTCCAGAGAAGGAGACTCCACAACCTCCCTGGGCAGCCTGTTCCACTGCTCTGTCACCTTCATAGGAAAGAAGTTCCTCCTCACRTGGAGATGGAACTTACTGTGTTTTAATTTGTACCCGTTACTCCTTGTCTTATCACTGGTCACCACCAAGAAGAGTTTGGCCCCATCCTCCCTACATTCTCCCCTCATGTACTTATTTACATTGATCAGATCTCCTCTCAACCTTCTCTTCTCAAGACTAAACAAGTTCAGCTCGTCTTTCCTCATATGAGAGATGCTCCAGTCCTTTCATCATCTTTGTCGCTCTCCGCTGGACCCTCTCTAGAAGCTTCACGTCCCTCTTATACTGGGGAGCCCAGAACTGCCCCCAGTACTCCAGGTGCAGCCTGACCAGAGCTGAGCAGAGCGACAGGATCCCCTCCCTCAACCTGCTGGCAACACTCTTCCTGATGCAGCCAGGAGCCCATTGGCCTTCTTGGCCACAAGGGCACTGCTGCCTCATGGGTAACTGGTTTTGGTATTGTCTGCAAACTTGCTCAGGGTGCACTGTGTCACCTTGTCCAAGTCATTGATGAACAGGTTGAACAGCACTGGGCCCAGTACTGACCCCTGAGGGACAACACTGGCCCCCAACTAGGCTTGTTTCCTTGAGACAATTTGCCTAGCTTTGCAGATACTTTATACAAGTCTCTTCTTTCCTATGTCTTGCTCCAGTGGCATCTCACACTGTTTCAGATGACTTTTCCAGCTCAGACTCTTAGCCCTTCTTGCTTCTCTTAGAAACAGAGCCATGAAGGGATGTTTCCTGTGCAGTGTATGGAGAAAATCACTTGGAATAGGAGCATCAACTCTGTGGTGATATCAGCAAACAGCTGCCTGGAAGAGTTTTTGTTAGGACACAGTACCACAAACATACTATGATATACACAGTATTTCCATCTAAAGAAGCATTAAGTACTAGCCATAAGTCAGAAAGAGAGCTCTCTAGCATACAATAGCAGATTCCCAATACTTAGAAACTTAAACTGTGGTCAGTGGAGACGTGGGTGGTCTGCACGATTAGGACAGTCTTTTTGTAATACCTACAAAAAATGTGGTAACTTCCTGTAAAATGAGTTAATAGGAAATCAAAAGTTAAGTTTTCAAAAGT